GCATCTAACCAGCTGGCTAGATGTACGCCTGAATAAAGGCATCTAACCAGCTGGCTAGATCTATGTCCGTATCCAGGCTTTCCTCATCAGCACTCGCTGTCCACAACTTCCGTATCGAGCCTATCGTATCCACAACTTTCGTATCCAGCCTATCGTATCCCCAACCGCCTCATGATGCAGCCCACAAGCACCCAACCATGATTGAGTCGAGTCGAGTCGTCTCTTTCAAAGCACACCATCCCCCCCCCCCTCGGCCTCATCACCAACATCACAACTCCTCCCCAAACAACCCCAACACCCGCTCCCCACTCCTCCACCCTCTCTTCCCCTCAGCCCTCCTCCCCCCACCCTCCCCATCCTCCCCCTCCTCCTCCTCAACAACCTCCCCCTCCTCCAACCCCCCCACATCCACCATCTCCCGATCCAACCCGTCCTCCACCCCCCCGACCGCCTCTTCGAACCGCATCACCTCCCGCCCGCTCTCCGAGCCCGAAGAGTCGCCGCGCCGGGCCACCGACATGGGCGACGCGGTGCCGACAGCGCGCTCCGTCGGGGACCGGGAACCCAAGCCGAAGTCCCGCGGGGAGCCTGCGTCGTCGTCGTCTTCGTCGTCTTCGGTGTCGTCCGGGTCGGCGGCGGGGGCGGTGCGGCGCGGGGTCTTGGTCTTGGCCGGTTTGAAGGTGGGGGGGTCGAGTTTGCGGTAGCCCCAGGCGGTGTCGGGGTCGTCGCCGGGACCGACGCGGCCGTAGGCGCTGGGGTCCGCCGAGCCGAACCAGTCCTTGCCTCCGTAGGGGAGGGCTCCGTAGACGGAAGGATCTTTGGCTTCGCCCTTGGCCTTGCCCTTTGTGTCATCGACCTTTGTGTCTCCGGAGTCCTGCTTCGTCTTCCCTCCAGCCTCTTTCGCGTCGATGCTGACGTTGTCTTCCAGATCGGAGCAGAAGTCGTCCCATTGCTTGTACTCGGCTTTCATCTCGATTGCCAGGTCCTCCTTCTCGACGATGACACGCATGCACTCTTCGCCTTTCAGCGTGGCTTTGTGGACGAGCGGCAGGCATTTGGCCAGGTTGGCGAGTTCGCGGGGGCCGACGTGGAGGATACGGATCGGGTGACCTTTGCGAGCGCTGAGGTCTATCTTCCATCTGGGAGTCCCAGGGGGAGCTGGACATGGTTTGATCCGATAAAGGTCGCTGGGTTGGAGTAATATGGACGATGAGACGTCCGGAAACTGTTCTTCGGCTTGTATTGATGAGACGGAGAAAGGCTGGAGGAGAGCATCGATGGAGACCGATGGCGAAGGGGGTGGCGAGTAACTGGGCGAGCCCGGGTACTGGAGCTCGGGCTTTGCTTCACGCTCTGGCTTATTGGCGGGAGACTGTGACTTTCTGTGCATGCCGGACCCGTATCCAGCAGCTTCCAATAGGTCTTCGAAGCCACTAAACGCTCCGCCACGCTCATTGGCCGTACTCTCCGTCTTCACACGTCTACCGGTAGAAGCCTGCGTGGCCGGCTCAGGGTTCAGGATTGTGTTGAAGTAAGGAGATGAGGATCGACGATTGTCAGAAGCTTCGACAGCCGGGTTGAGAATCTTTGCGGGGTGAGCGGAGATCTCATCCCCCTCCGCGATAATTGACTCGATGAATTCACCCAAATGTCGTAGCTCAAGGATAGGGTCTTCCATCGAGCAACGAAAGCCCTCAAAGCTATTAACGTAACCTGTATCGATCGGGCCGACGTACTCTAAAGACTTGCGAAGCTTCCTTGCGGTAGACGCTTCGCTGATAGAGTTTTCGATTGTGCGAACTAGAAGTCATTGTCAGCTCGGGAGGTCTGAGGGAGTGGACGCGAGATGGACGAAAGGAGGGGCAGACTTACTGATGAAGGGGCGGGTAACCTCTTTGAAGTACCTTCACGTTGACCGTTAGCCTATCTCACAACAGCGACTGTAAAGCAAATTAGACTCACGTGGGCTTGTTGGCCCAAGCCATCACTCCACGGCAGAACGTGTCCAACATCTCCTTCAAGTTCTCCAACGGATCGTACAAAGACAAGGTCTATGTAGATTCAAAGTTAGCAGATTTCCTTTCCGTTTAGTAGCTCAGTCCCAAGACAGATGTGAGAAGTATGAAGCAACTCTCTCCCCCACGACGGAATTCTCACAGCTCAACCCTCCATGTCTCCAACTCAGAAAACATGATCCCGAATGAAAAATCACATACCGCCCTGTCAGTCCCCAAGTAAATCGGCGCCCTGCTCGATCCCCTCGGCCGCTCCGGTATTAACCGTCTCTCCCCATCTCCTACCCCGGCCCCTTCGATGAGTAGTCCTTCGACTACCACCGTAATGATCCCCAAAGCGCTCGCGAAGGACTCGCCGTTGAACGCCGGCCTGAACTTGGCCGTGGCGCGACGCGAGTCGCGATTGTGGGTGTTGTTGATGGACCTGTTGTCCACCAGGGCCGCCAATACAGATTGACGAGTGCGCTTGTCCACAGCGTAGGGGGAGATGTACTCTTCAGTGGCCATGATTGTGGTTTTTTTGATTTCTGAGGTTGTGGGTGTTGATCATGGAAGAGGCAGTAGTTGGTCACAAGGTGAAGTTGTTTTGGTTGCGAATCTTGGTCACGTTTCTCTTGGGGTATGTCTCGGCGCATATTCTTGTTGGGGTCGGGGTCACCAATGTTTCGTTGGGAAACGAGGTCATCGGCGGCAACGAGGTCACCGCTGGTCGACTGACCGCCGGGGGACCGACATTGACATACTAGAATCCGTACCATAGTGGCTGGAAGCACCAAAGAGCCATATAAACACACACTATTGTCTATGGTCGAGAGGAGAGTTTATGTTGTCATAAATAATTTTATCCGAATGTGTCAATTTAAATGCCACTAATACCGCGCTTAGGGCTTCGGTTCGCTTAATTGTACACAAGGGATTTCACAATTTTGGACGTCCACAACTCTCTTAAGATGATGGTCTTTGGTCGTCTTGGGGGACAATTGGGAGAGAAAACCCAGGCTTTTGCGACATTGAGAGTAGTCAGTATCGTTTGCATGGATATTGGCTCTTTGATTGATGCAGTAATCTTAATACTCACTCTGGGCATTGCATTGCGATTCCTTTGCCAACAGCATTAGCATTAAACCAAGGACTGATCATACATAACATCCCGTGCGCCAATATCAATGCAGGTGATAGCTCCCTGCATGAATTGGTAGCCCACAACTGCCGGCCAGAGCCATACCAGCCCTTGTGTTGGCTGAGCTCGTCCCTCTTGATACCTTGGGACAACGCAGTACCAGGAGGCAAAATCAGGCAATGTAACTCATAATGAGGCATCCCGAGCTCTTGCAGTATGCTCCGTCAGTCTCCGGAGACTCGGGTCTTATCGCGCCTTAAGGCCAGGTATCACTCAAGGAGTCTGTATTCCCAGGGCGGAGAAGAATTTCGCGTGATAGCCAGAGCTCCCTCCAGTCAATATGAGACAAGCCCAGTGAAACAGGGACGTATACTGCAAGTGCTATGCATCCACGTTTTGACAATCCTGCCTTTGGCTGAGATCATGCAGGGCGAACGCGGAAAAAGCGATCAGCCCCTTAAACTTTTGCTGCTGCTCCAAGAGAATCGAGCTGTCCGAGGCCCCAGATCACATAGTCCACCTTCGGCCGAACAAATCCAAGCATCACCACTTCGGACGTGGTCGGTTCCAAGTCCTCGCTCAACGCTTTGACCTAGCCCGTTTCCTCGAGGCTTTTCTGATGGAACTGCAGACTCCCGTCGCTGACCGATTGGTTCCCCCGCCCAGGTTGAAGAGTCTAGAAAGCAAGTATAGCAGCTGCTTTTGGGGATAGTGAGGCTGTTTGCCAAGACGCGAACTGGATGCCAACCGGAAGCTTTCTATGATCTAAGTCAAGTATGACAGCTGCCCATGAACTCGGAGATTTGTGTGGATCGAAGCACGCATACGGAAACCAACCTTGAGCGGAGTACAGTGCTTCATGGATAGGTGAGTTGATATGATTTCGGAAGGGTGGCACGACCCAGGTGGTACATGACCCAGGTCAAGCACTGATGTGCTGGCTCAGGGAACATGTAGTCCAGGAAGAGCGGTGAACGCGGCGGGATAGCTGGCAAGTATTTGAATTTGTAAAAAAACAAACATGTACATGCAGCTAGCCGACGGCATTGTTTGGGATTGTTTTTGCATCTTCGAGGATTATCAGAATGTGAATACCTTGCTTTAGCGCACATCCTTTCCGACTACATGCAGTAACAATGGATGAGTGTATCGAGGATTCGGGATATGTAGCACAACCATGTATTCGCTCGATTAATTCCCGTTGCTTGAAAGTGTTTTTACGGCCGCACGTAAAGGTCAAAGCACTCGACGTGCCGAATGGGTCGCTGCATCAACTTCATTAACCACATGTGAAAAGATTTCCGTGATACCGAAAATCTCCACTAAAGGACTCGCTGGCGGGTGTGAGGGAGAGGCTCCTATCACTTCCTCAACGAGACTGCACGGCTCTATTGCGTCAGCAAACCACAAATTTACATTCGTTCGCTTCGATGACTCGTCTCGGTGTGGAAATTGTGGTTGTCACCGGCCTATTTCTTACCCGTACGGGATATGCACGTAACCTTTTTCCATGCAGTCTGCTTCCGAGGGACCATTCCTATGGAAATCAAAAGTTACTTGGGTCGCGTCGGCGTGTTTCTTAAAGATTTGTTGCATTTGCGGGTTGCACTGTGCCTTTTTCGCCTTATGCAGAACTCGACACTCTACAACCGTAATGTGACCGGGCCCCTGATCACGAATTTCGAGTACTCGGGCTCGAGTACATAAAGGCGGTCGATCTTGCGAAGAGGCCATTTAGTACTCACTCATTTTCTTCTTCCTTCTTTTCGCCTATCATTGGACAACCGCAACCTCTGAAACATCAGTCTGATCAGTGTTTCTGGGAACATAGCTCCCTATCGACAAGCTGACACTATACCGGTACCATGGCGGCACCGCAGATTGTCGTCCGGAGCAGCCCAAAATGGCAATTTTTGATGGCTTTGGGGCTTGACGGGCGCAACCGTAACCACCAAGCCCAGTATTGGATCATGAAAGTATGTGTGGAAAGACTCATCTTGACAGAGAGAAACTGACGACCGACAGAGTGAAGCGATCCGAGTGTACGACGCCCAACTTATGGGTAACCGTGGCGCCCTCAAGGCGCAGTACGCAAGGGAGCTTCCGCCCTTTTCAGCGAATCAATTCTCCGAAGAGGCATTCATCAACGCAGTGAACACCATTGTGAATAACGCATGCTCCCAAACGCGAAGCCTATACGACCAAGGAGCAGCCCAAGGGCAGCCGAATTGGGTTGCACGATGGGTTTTATACCACGTCTGTCGCTACCGCGATGGCCGTAACAAGAAGGCCGCACGATCCCAAAACTTCCATGACGATGACGATGAAAATGATGATATCGCGGTACGTTCACCACCACCACCACCACCACCAACACCAGGTGAGCTTTGAGAGTCACAGCGCCTCAAAAACACTATGTATTTGCTGACATGTGACAGGCCCAGTTGCCGGCAGTGGGAAGGGCAGAGGGCACACTCCGGTTTACGATCCAGCTAGAAATACGTACAGATGACAAGTAGGTCAGGCATCGTGTTAGATGGATGATTGGAGGGCTGGCACGCCCGTTTGATAATGTCTCCTGGTCGAGCGAGTGTCGCTGTCATCAATGGGTGACTTGCTGCGTCCTTGGCCTTTCAATTTGTATCCGTCTCGCACCTGGCGCTTGTAAAAGAGTGTACAACCCTAGGAGGCAGTCTGCATATTCGCAGTCTCGGGAGAAATCCCACTGTTCGAGCGGAATTGTGTAATAGAATGTATGAGATTGCCGCTCATCTCGATCAACGATGCCATTCGATATTGCATAATGGCACTGGACTGTCTTGCCCGCGTTCATGTCACCACAGCTTGTGAAAGGTATCTCTAGGATTGATTCCGTTGTGCCGTCTCAGAGAAGATGACCCCAAAGTAAAGTACAGAAGGCGTACAAGCCTCTTCTGCTTTAACGCGAGGATCATTCTAGGGATGTCTCGGTCGGGTGGCAGGGACAAACTGAGGAAAGCAGCTCCCGTTAGCCTTTCGCGGAAGTGGCTTCTTTCGTGAGATTCCTTCCGCGTTGTGCAAGTATGTACAGTGGATTCAAGAAGGTCTCGTCGGTATTACTGCTCATGCAACGGCCTGAATATAGGGGTCTAGTCATCCTCGTCCTCCTTCACGTTCTTCTCTTTCCGGTCCGATTTCTGGTCACTTCGAACCTTCCTCATAGCCTCTGTAACCCTCTCATCCTTCTCATCTTGAGTTTCATCCCAATCAACGTCGTACTCACTTGCTATCTGCTTTATCTCTTTCCGGTATCCATTCGCCTCTTCGATCAGTGTATCCCACCTTTGGATATCGAAGCCTTTCTGCTGATACAGCTTCGTCTGCCGGCGGCTAATGGTAAGGTTGAGGGCTGAGCGGTAGGATACCTCTCGGTTGTGGTAAAGGAACCAAAGATAACCGCAGATGAGGGTGGATAGGCCGACAAGGTACTTGTTCCTGATTAGAATCATATGTGCCATTGATCAGATCCATGTGCTCACCGTGATAGGTTCAATAGTATCCCAGCCCCAGGATGTATTAAACGTTAGTTGATAGACGACGTACCAATAACCGACGAGGACTGCTGCACCTCCCATTGCCACCCGTTGGGCGCCTTTGTGTGCTTGTAGATCACATTCTTTCTTGACCGCGGCCAGATCTATGATTTTGCTAGCAGTTTTCCGTAGCCTGAATCGCAAGTAGTGCGTTCGATCATTGAAAGAAGGCACTCCGACCTTGATCTCCTCAGGAGCTCCTTCAATCTCCACGGCGAACTCCTTCCCGCGAGCGGCATCACGTATGAAGTCACCGACCTCTGTTGAGGACGACCAACGAACAAATCTCCTTGGTTCATCTTTGGCGGAAGGCCCTTCATGGCCAAGACCACTGTAACTTTCCACTCCTCCCTCGCCTAGCTGTGCAGCGTTTGTCGTAGACTTCTTGCCCAGCTTTCCAGTCTTTTCAGTCCGACCTTCGAATTGGGTCTCCTCCAACTCGCCCTCTGCGTCCTCGTACAAGTCCTCTGGACTTTCATCTGCCTTTTTCTCTGTAGGCTGAATTGCATCTTGTTGAGAGTCCTCCGCTCTGAAATGGACCGCCGGGACTTTTTCTTCTCCTTTTCCGTTCTTGATTGAAGGTAGCTCAGATTGTATGAGGCGCTCCAGATACGACAAAGGCTGTTGAGGATGGACCAGAAGTGCTAGTGGCTCTACGTCTTTCCGGTCAGAGTTCTTGTCAAGAGTGGTGAGAGGTATGATGAGCTTGAGGAGGCGAGACGGGGTTGTCAATAGCTTTCCTAAGCCTCAAATCAGTCAACATAGACGCACGCAAAGGGGTTCGGCTACCTTTGATCATGGCCCCAGCGGAGCGCTGACGCGCGACTGGAGGCATATCTGAGCCTTCTCGATGCCATGGTGCCTTATTCTGCTTCTGTTTCTCCGCGCCAATGGCTTTGTCTATGGTCGACTCCCTTCTGATTTGCCTTTTCTGGTAGACTCCTGTGACAACTCCTAGATATCTCCTCGTCAAGGTTCGATTTGCGGAGCTCCGTAAAGTCAGATGGTCTACTGGTATCGAGTGGTTGACAGCTGCAGGATGTAGATGCCTGCTGCGAACGGCATAGCTCTTTGGTATCAACAGTAACCGCGAGGAAAGTGCCTGCGACGGTGGCTGGTGCATTCTGCCGTACTCTGGGGAATGCCGAAAGCAATTGATGTTGAGTTGCAAGACATAGCCAGTAGTGGAGAAGTAAATGGACAAGATGAGGTGGATATGTAAAATCAAGCTTGACGCGAACGAGCGATCTTGAGAAATTGGTTTGAAGCATGGAACTTGCTTGAAGCAAGTGCAAACCAAGCGCGAAACCATAGGGCTGACCCCTTTTCCACGTTCTCCTGAACAATGAGCAGAAATATAGCCGACGCATTTCTGCTCATTATTTCAGCTCAGAACATCGTTTACTGGTGTCTTGACAGGATCGAAAGGTGCATTCAATGACTTTGATTAAGATCTCTAGAGTTTTCGCATGGCTAATGCTTGAGGCCCTCAAACCCGTCAACCGTCGCTATGCAGCATACAAGAAGTCGTTAATGGAGTAACTCGACGTTCAAACATCCTTCCATCCTCCCAGATGCACGCTCCAAGATGCTCAAAGTGATGATGGCCTCTTCCGAGAGGAATGAAGAAGATGCGACGCTTTCGCTATGAATAATTTTTGTCTCTTAATCCTGCCAACCCCCTATCCCAATGAATAAGTCTAGGTCGTGTCGGTCATCAAGTCGTCTCGTAAAGCCGTCATTGGTATCCCGGGAAGTTCAAGAAGTCGCCAAAAGGAAAGGAGTGGATTTCAATACCGAATTTCGAATAGGTGCGCCAATGAAGGAGCTCAACGGCGCCCGCTCCGATGTCTCGAGGTCCTGCTAGCATAACCACCACCACCACTTCCGACACCGCTTCCAGCACTGAGCCTACGGCAACCCCCGTAACTCTGGCTTCCGTAAGAGCTGCCATAAGAGTGGCCACTCTCAGCAGTTGTAGGGCTACTGCCGCCGCTCCGGCTTCCGCTACTCCTTGAATCATCCGTGTAGACACTCATCCTCTCCGTTCCAATAGCGACTGGCAGACCTTGAACCACATCTCCTCCCCTCCGTCCTTTGTGGCCACTTGGATACATGCCGTCGCTCTTGGAAAAGTTCTGACATATGAGATAAGCACGCATAGCAGCATTCTCTTGAGCTAGGCGTTCGTTCTCATGTATCGTATCACTTTGATACTCGCGGTTGTTAACGCGTGCTACGCAAACAAAACCAGGTTCTGCCCGGAACAGTCTGTAGATGGGCTCCGGCCATTGACGTCGCTGGCATAGATCTGGTTCGAACAGTATCAGTAATGAAACAATGAGACTTAGCTAACTTTTGGTGTAATCCTCTACGACCCAGAGTAAAGTGAATACAAGAAACTGCGAACAGATCATTGCAACAAGCCCATTCAAATAGACGAAGATGACATTGAAGATGGTCCAATGAAGGCAGCACCCAAGCGCCGTGATTTGTTGACAGACAGGCAGGTACAATATTTCACAAGTGCAGCGGCAATCGGGTCCCATGGGCCATGGGCGTTGGGTAGTGACCGCAAAATCACGAATCGCAAAAATAAATGAGGTGACTGACTCGATAGGTACTCCTGGTAGTACATAGCCGCGATGGTGGTGTGGATCCAAGGCTGGGAGGTGTGCCGGAAACGAAAGCTCGGGAACGACTAGCAATTGACTTTTCTCCTTTCGAAAGCTCCAGTTGGCTTCCAAGAGCGTTGATGCCCAATGTCACCCTTTCTGTATGAATCCGTAGCAGAGGAGGCGTTGATCAGGTCTGAAACTGTTACTCTGCTATGTTTGAAACGCTTGCTCGCAGTCTCCAGGTGCGATGCCAGTTTAGTAACGAAAAATGCAGGTCGGAGAATATTTGGTGCATGGAGGAAACCTGGATCTATGAAATGCAGCCCCGAGTGGCAGCTATATATCACTGCCAGATCGGTCCACAGAAGAGTCAATAACGAAGTGGAGAAGAAAGATACTCGGCCAGCACAGGTAGGGGACTTCTAGCAGCATTCTCACTGTTCTGCGGCTCGTGCTAATTCACGCGACGATGCGCTGGCGCACGTTTTACCAGTGAGAGTTTCTGGGGCCCGACATGAGGAGCCATTGGCCTATGAAATGATTCTCTGGAATGATCCAAGCAAGGAGCGGCGATGACTGACGTGCAGGTGCCGCAGATATTTTATGCCCCGTCTCCACACTAAGGATGCGCATCAGTGGCGAACATGACGCCTGGTTCGAGGATAGAGCATTCTCATAGGCAGATCCACGGGGAGAAAGGTACCAACCCCGCAAGATTAGGTGCTTAGATACTTCTGGAATACTGACTCCTGCAGTTCGGTGTTTTGACCTCTTTGGCTAATGCGAGAGAAATCTGGGTCAGGCATTTTTGCGTTGTCATTCGCGCGAAGATCCTCTCAACGAGCACAGACCAGCGATAACCCAATCCCTGAGGAGTAGCAAAATTCTCAAGGGAGATGCAAGCCTCAGGCCTAAACCTCGGCGGCGCTCGTTGCGCTTAATTAGCACTCGAGCTTAATACGTTTGGGACATCCCAGCTCAACGGCTTCCTTGCCCTCGTATCACTGGCTTGTTCGTCCAAACGTTCCGAAGACATTGCAGGTGTTAATCACGCAGTGCCTCCAGTCAGACTTGGCAACTCAATAATTAAGTCGAGCGTGCTGCCATGCTCACTGATCTATGCATGCTTGATGAGTTGGCAATGCGTTTGAAGGTGCAGGGAGGTATGCGTTGGAGTCCGGGAACGGCTACTCGACTCGGACGAACTGGAAGTGTAATTCGTAGCCTACCGCTCCATGCAACGTCTTCATCATCCTTCCTAGTATCGTCATCTGTGGTAATCGATGATGTTGGACGAATTTCCGTTCCAATCAAAGGTAAAGAGTCGTG